CACCCAGGTGGCTCATTGGTTAAGAGTTGGCTTGGGAGCACATGGTCTAAGCAGCAGGGCCGCTGGTTCAGATCCCACATGGGCCACTGATGCTGTGCCCTCTACAGCTAAGATGATGAACAACAGCTCAACCTGGAGCTGGGCTGCCGTGAGTCGCCGGTGATGGGGTAGGCTGCAGTGGGCTGCCGTGGGCTGCTGTGAGCTACCATGAGTGGTTGGCGGCCAGCAGTGAGCTGCTGTAAACCGCTGTGAGCGGCTGTCCAATGACCGGCGACCGATCTGCCTCAGCTGGGAAGAGCGCAATGATCACAATACCAACATGGGCCAGTGAAGCGACATCCCCCACAACTAGACTGAAGAACAAAAGGACAGTAACTTGTCTATTCCCCTTCTCCAATTCCCCAACACTGTTCCCTCCCCCCAATTCTCTAATAAAATCTTTTTTTAAAATGATAAATGTGAAGTCTTTCTGATTCTAGAAACCAAATCCTTAACCACTAAGCTGTAATGCTGTGGGTCTTGAAGAACTGGTTGATCTGGCCGCCAAAGTCCTCGCTCACCTCTTCTCTCTGTTTATCCCCTTCCCAAAATATGAGTCAACATCAAAAGATGTCTGTAATAATGCTCGTACATATGTGATTGAGAACAGAGTTATTTCAATGAATGAATGTGTCCACCAACCTATTCTGCATAGAAAAAACACATAGAAAAAACACATGCACAAAAGATGTTTTGAAGATATTGTTGACCTTAAAAGAAAAAAAGAGCCAGCTATTTTACCAGCAAGATGGGTTTATTTGGAAATAGCAGAGGAATTGCCATTTGGAACAAGCAAATTATGGTGAACCATAAGCAAGTCCAAAGAACAGAGGAGATGGGTTTGCTTTTATAGAGGAAAGGGGGAAGTTGGGAGGGGCCATTTTGAAGAGTTCAGTATGATAACAGCTTCTCATTGGCTTGGCTGTTGCTGGGCAAGGAGAAGTTCTTCCTTCCTTCTGCTGGGGCATGTAAAGTAAGCTTCCTCCTGTTTGGAGTCTGAGTGGTAGTGTGTGAAAGCTTCCCTTTCAGGGCTTTCCTACTTCATTTTAAATGAGGTTTCCTTTACTTATTTTCATAATATTTTCAACATAGTAGCCAGAGTGGTCCTTTTAAACTTGTCAAACCATCTCATTCTTCTCTCAAAGCCCTCCAATGTAACCTTCCAATGTCTCCTTAACTCACCTAGAATAAAAGCAAGACTATAATTATAATGGCTTATGGGGCTCCACATAATATGCCCTTATTACTTCATGACATAGTTTTTTGTGTCCACCTGGCTAGGATATAGTACCCAGTTATTCAATCAAACACTAATCAAATACCCGTAAAGGTATTTTGTAGATATTGTTAACACTCTGATCAGTAGACTTCAAGTAGAGAGAAGTACTTGTAATTATCCTCAATAATGTGTGTGGGCCGCATCCAATTAGTTGAAGACCTTAGAAGCAAATTTCCAAGTTTCCCAGAAGATAAGTAATTCTGCCTCAAGACTACTGCACCAACCCTTGCTTGAGCTTCTAGCCTGCCCCCTGCCCTACAGATTTCAGACTTGCCAACCTCCACAATCATGGGAGCCAATTTCTTAATTCCCTTGAATATATATTCTCTTGAATATATATACCGGGAGTGTCAAAAAATGTACACAAGTGGACACTTTGGTCAACGATGTTCAAGCAGTAGTTCACCACAATCTGAAGTGTCTGGATGCTGATGGTAACCACTTTGAGCACCTCTTGTAATTGCAGAAGTCAAACGTGACTTGTATTCATCTTTTGTTGTTGGTACATATTGAGTATTACAATTTTAATACAGTTTTTTCCCTTTCTTAAAATATGTATACATTTTTTTGGCACTCTATGTATATATATCCCCTATTGCCTTATTGGGTATAGTATAGTTAGATACTGTATAGACTGTATAGATTATTTATCTATAATCTTTTATCTATCTGTCTGCCTTTGATATATATATATATATATATATATATATATATATATATTCTCTCTCTCCTATCTTATATCTATATATATGTCTATTGGGTAGAGCCAATAGGAGTATATATAAATACAGATACCTTTCTATGTATAGATGTATATGTATATATATAGATAGAGATCTACATCTCCATTTATCTATCTATATGTTGTGATTCTCCAGAGAAACCAATATGTGCTATTGATCCTGCTTCTGTGGAGAACCCTGACTGATACATCTTGCCTACCTTTCTCACATTGCTCCCTTCCCTCACCCTGCTCCAACCACACCAGCCTCCTCAGTGGGTCCTCAAACATACCAGGCATGCCCCTGCCCTAGGGCCTCTCTACTGGTGGCTCCATCTGCTGGGTCTTCCCTCAGATAACCCCACTGCTCACTGTCCACCTCCTTCAAATGCTGCCTTCTCAATGATGCCTACACTGAACTCTATTTAAAATTGCAACCCATCCACTCTGGCCTTCCCCATTCTCCTTACCCTGCTCTATTATCTTCTTTTTTTCCACAGCACTTGCCATTTTCTGAAATACTACGTAATGTATTTATTTTTCTTACATATTATTTATTGTTTGTATCCACCACTTGGATGTGAACATGAAGGAAACAATCCTTGTCTATTTTGTAGATAGCTGTATCCCAGGTGCTTGGCACAGAGTAAACACCCAATGACGCTTGCTGGAACAACAATGAATAAGGAGTCTGTGGGGATCAGTAAATAGGGGCCCATGGATCTGAGATGGGGTTCTGGGATTGGTCAGCTGAGGGCCTTGATTAATGAGTGGGGTCTGCATGGCAGTGACCGATGGAAGTGGGAGGGCCAGTGGTAAGTAAATAGTGTCAACGATTTGGGCATCTCTGCGGAGGTCATTAAGGAGACTCTGGCTGTGCATAACTGTAGGAGAGGATAATTACCTTGCCCGAGGTCACCCATCTAGTAAGTGGCAGAGCTGGAATTGATCTCAATGTTGTACAATTTCAAGATGTGAAAGCTGACTGAAAGAAATGTACTGTGGCAAGAGAAAGACAAGGTCTGTGGATCCTGGAAAATTTCCCTGTCTGGCAAATCAGAATGGGTAAAAGAACTCAGAACTTGATACTGTGGGTCAGTTCAACATTCAAGTGCTCCGCTGGAATAACCTCATGATACTTAATCTGCCAGATTGTATCAGGCAACAGCATGTGGAGCCATGATACCCTAGACTAATGTACCCTTCCTGCTGTTTCTATTTCTGAGTCTGCAGGTAAATATGGGAATGTACCCCAGCCAGATGCAGGTGCTAGGGAGAGGGCATTGTCCACAGCAAGAGTCCTTTCCCTGTGGGGAGCTGGTGCCCTGCAGCAATTATTTTGATATTGGTGTGTAGGACGACAGGGAAAAGATACAAGAAGCAGAAAGACCAGTTAGTTAGAATCCTGCCATAGTGATCCATGCATGAAGTGATGAGGCTTAAAATGTCCAAATCCAGTGCCCCCATGAGTCTGCTTCTCTACAGTTCTGTCTGCCTTTTTCATCCAGTTGTCCCACTCAGTCTCTCCCCTTTCAGAGCCCTATCTCTCATCTTGGTTCTTACCCTTTGCTCCACAGATTGAAAGGTCATCTCTGAAATGCCCAACCAATTTGTCATGATTATCAGTATGCAGCTCTGCCTGTCCACATGCAAGCAGGTTTTCCTCTCAAAGCCCAAGAGATGGAAAATATTTACACTTGAAAATTTTTCATTTTTAGAAATAAAGATGTCACTATTACTGAGTATTTCTGATGAGGTTTTATTCTATTAAATGACGATGGAAAGATTCACTTGGAATTATGTGTTTATTCCATTTTGGAAGGAGTCTTACAAATTGATATAAAAAAACAACAGAAAATCCAAGTCAAACTTTTTGGGAAAGTTACATTTGTTTAACAAGAGTCAATAAAGTGAGAAGCAATGAGTGTAATGAATTTGGGGAAATTTCCCAAAGAACACAGAATGTAATAGATGTGACAAAGATATAATAAATGTGTCAAAAAATTCACACTAGTGAAAAAGCATAAGAATATAATTAATATAAAAAAGGCCCTCCTATACAAATTGCAACACATTGGACACAGGTGATAACCTTACAAATAGGTCAGTAAAAGCTCATGTTAAAATGTAATTTTACTGCACTTCAAAGACCTCATCCTGGAGAGCATCCTGTGATTGAAAGTGGAAAAGCCTCCAATCCATAATCCCATTTCCACTGGAACACATAATTCATACTGGGGAGAAGTCATTTGAGGGCAATGAATGTGAGAAAACCTACAATATAGCTCAGCTCTTATTCAACATTAAAGAAACCATGCGGGTAGGATGCCTTATAAATTCCACAGATTTGAAAAAGACATTATTCAGGGTTTCAAATTGATTGATTGGACATCAGAGAATGCAAAGCTATGCCTACAAATAGTGGGGGGAATCCTCAGGGAGTTGTGAACCCCACTGAGCATCACAGAAATGATCAAAGGGAGAGACCTTATGTACACATTGAATGTGAAAAATCTTCTGGAAATCAAACCTTTGATTGCATTCGAGAATTCAGAAAGGAGACCATACGAGTGCAAAGTACGATAACACCTTTGGGAGCAGAGGCCACTGCACACAGAATGGCTCGTGCTGTGGCTCATGGACCAGTGGACCAATGCGAGAAGGCCGTAGGAGAAGACAGAGCTCACCGTGCATCAGAGAACTCACACCAGACACACAGGCAGGAATGAGTGTGTGGACGTCTTCAGCAGGAATCCAGGATTAAGTCAGAAACCTCACATCAGAGTGGGAGAAATCCTCTAAATATCGGAAAGTTTTTACTAAGAAATCATCCAAACTCTGAGTCACAGAGTTCAGAATGGGGAAATCCACGAAAATGTAACAAATGTGGGAAAGTTTTCAACTAGAAGCCAAGACTTATTGCACATCAGAGAATTCATCCTGAGAGAAAGACCAAGAAAACAGTAAATGCAGGAAAACCTTTATTTGGAGATCAGAGCTCAATGACTCTACAAGTTAGTCTGGGAGAAAAAGCACTGATAGGGAAAAGCCTTCAGCAAGAAAACACATGTCATTATACATCAGAAAACCCACACAGGAGAGAAGTCCTGTGAAAGAATGAATTTGGGAAAGCATTCAGCCTCACATGAGACCTTATAACTAACACTGCAGAGAAGCAAACCCTAGGAATGCAACATGTGTAAGGAAGGAGACCCTGGACACCAAAAATGTTATTCTGAGGAGAAGCCCTATTCATTTAAGGAATGCAGAAATACCTAGTCCCAAGGTCAAAATCTTTATGCACCAGAGACTGTGTATAGAGAAGGATCTCTACGTTGTATGATGCTGGCCATTACATAGTAAAGCATTCACACTTATAAATAAATAAAAAGAGTCAGTGTTCAATGTAAATTCTACCCCAAGGAAATAAAATCCCATCACTAAACCAAGCTTTATGTTAAAAAAAAAATTACTGACAAGTGAACATCCTCTCATGGGTAGAGCAAGTGCCTTCCTCCCAATGCCTCACACTTGCCTTCCAAACGGGACTTCCCGGGGGCATTGGGAGAGAGGCGTTTTTATATCTATCCTATTTTATCCACTTGGAATTAACCTTCACCATGGACACAACTCTCTCTGTCACTGGTCCCAACCTGGAACTCCTGAACACAAACCCTCAACAGGCATCAGAGGAGGGCAAATGCCCCGCCTTGTTAGTTTATTCTCACACCACTAAACCGTACAAATGCATCTAATTTTCTTAAGGTTTCAGGGTCACATGCCAGAGCACAGATGGGAAAGGAAAAAAGCTGTACTCTGAGTGTTACATCCCTCAGATCCCAGGAGACAGATCCCAAGGGAAAGGCCCTTACACGAGTAACTTCATGGGGTGCACCCTGTCCCACTGCTTACTCCCCTGCCCCTGCAGGCCCACCCTCTCTCACAGGGGTTGCACCCAAGGCCCTGTCCCTCCGTGCCAGGCCCACTCTCCTCAGTCCAGAATACAGACCCGCACATCTACTGTGGAGACGGCTCCTCCCCAACGCCAGCCCTCTAGTTCACTCAGGAGTCTATACACGCTCACGCGCCATCCGATCCCTAGATCTGGTGGTTGGTCAAGGTGGAAATGTCACTCACACTGGGCCAAGCCCAGGGATTCACTGTGACCTCTCAACTTCAGACCAGAGAGTGTGACTGTAGTCCCTCTCTAGAAGTAGACACCTCTGGGTGACCATTCCCCCCTGTGAGTAGAAAGTCCAGTCTGCGGTGAAGAAGTCTAATGCCGACACACACTGACCAGCAGAGATAACATCGGCATGTAGGCCCAGGCCTTTCTGGAGGCGAGTCCCATCCTGCAGGGCATGGCCTCCGTGGACCTCCTTCGCTGCATGCCCGGACTCCTCACAGCTTCCACCGTGAAACAAGGGAAAGAAGAGAGGAGAGAGGAGAGGACACGAGCATCCCATTTACCTCCCCCCCCACTACTTGGGGACCTCCGTGTCCTCACCCTTGGGTGGGGCTGCCACAGTGGAGGTCAACTTGAGGCTCCGCTTCCGCTTCTGCACGTTCTGCTCCGGGTGGAACAGGATGACGTAGGCTTTGGGTACATAGAGCATACCGAGGGACACCGACGCACTCAGGCTCAAGGACACAGTCAGTGTGGTAGTTTGGATGTATATCTGAGCCATTGAGGAAGGGACCAGGTGGGACTCAGCCCTGTTCTCTCCACCCCACCCCCACATAGCCTGGGAATGAGCCCTTAGGAAAAGACAACTACATAAGCAAAATCCTGTGGTATGAAGAAGTAGTAGTCATGGTATGGCCCTGGGGTGGGCAGTAAGGAGGGTGAGTGGCATGGCACCAAGTGGATCAGTGACTGAGGGAAGAAGGTTTCATTCACAAAGAGTGACACTTCGGGAAATGGTCCATATGCCTAAAAGAGGCTAGAGCAAGTTAATGAGTGAATGAACATGTTTTCAAATGTACAAATGAATGAATGAACAGAGATTGAATAAAGGAACAAGTAGGCAAATGAATGGATGGCAGGGATGAATAAACAAATGTTCTACTATATATGTAAATAGATGACTGAATACTGATCAAACAAATGGATGAATCAATTAATGGATCACCTGATATAAAGCCTATGAAGAAGTAATTGAATAAAAAGTTAATCGATGGTAAGAAGCATGGATGAACAAATGCATGAATGAACAAAGGAAGAGGGGAATGACTAAGTGCACAAGCAGAGGGAGGCTGGAAAGACAAATGAGTGAACAAGTATTTAAGTACATGAATGGATCAAACAAGCAGCCATTTTTTATATGTGTGGCCCAGCTCTTGGGACAACTAAGGCCTTTCCCTTCTGTGGGCAGGCAGTAGCGAAACCAACGGGAGACCCCAGTTACCTTTTCAGCTGACTGGGCAGTGCCAAAGAAGATGGGCACAAAGGCCAGCCAGATGATGCAGGTGGTGTACATGGTGAAGCCGATGGGCTTGGCCTCATTGAAGGTCTCGGGCACACCACGGGCCTTGATGGCATACACCGTGCATGTGGCCATGAGCAGGAGGCTATAGCCCAGGCAGCCGATGAGGGACAGATCTGACATGTCGCACTTGAGCACCCCTCTGGCTTGCTCCGGGTCCACCGTCCGCTGCTCCTCATAATCAATCACACTGTGGGGGGGCTGGGCCCCCAGCCATGCCATCACTCCCACCACCTGTGGGAGCCAACACCACATCAGGGTCACACTCAGCCTAGCCACCAATTGAAGTCTGTGGCAGGTTAGGGTCCTCTTGAGGCTGCTTAGATCTGAGAGAACCACCATGGAGAGGAGCGGGCCATCCAGGAAGGGACTTCCCAGGCAAAGGCCTGTGACATGGCCCAGTGGAGGTACATGCTAGTTGGCTAAGGGGACCCTGGATGTCCTTTTCCTATATTCTAACCATTACTAATGCCACTTACTGAGCCCTGCAGGTGCAGTGACAGCAGGCATTGTGACCCTGAATACATCTTCTCCATCTACAGAATGGGAACCCCCCTAATGTGCTGTGAGAACACAGTGTCAGCTCAGAGGCGCGGCTGGTGCCTGTACCCTGGTTAACAGCCAGGCCCAGCACAGATATCCTCCCATCACAATCCTCTAGGCAGGCAAGCAGGATCCTCTCCATTCTGCAGATGTGAAGTGCTAGCTTGTCCCCATCCAGCAACATGGCAAACCTAGTGCCTGAAGAGCCCCTTTCTTCTCCAGATCCAGAGAACTGCTGAAGAAGAGGTAGTGGAATCACGTGTGAGCGCACAGTGCAGCTCACAGTGAAGAGGCCTGTGGTGGAGAGCAGTGAGAATGTGAGCTGATGCAGGGCTGTCTGGGAGGTTATCTGAGTCGGACACAGGTCCTAACAGGGAGCAGATGGAGTTTCAATTCCCTCACAGTCAGGAGACATGACCTTGAGCCAAGGGAAGCTGGGGAGTGGGAACTAAGACACCTGCATAAGACAGGACCCTGGACAGGCTGCCCCATAAGTTCATACAGGTCATTCCTTGCACAAAACACCTGATTTGGGAAGGAGAGGGGCAAGAGGGGGACTGAAATCTAGCCACTGCTCCAGTGCGCACTGGAGTAGTCTGTGTGAGCCTCAAGGAAGGGACTTTTAAAACAATTTGTACACCTAGAAGAGCACCTTTCTGTGCTTCTCCCAAAAGTAGCAGCTCTATGAACAAGGGACTAATAAAATAACACCCACCCACTGTCCAACATGGAGGCTTCTCTTATAACAAGGCTCCAGGTGGTGGGGGAGAGTTTCCCATGAGAAACTAAAACTCAAGGCCTGAGAAATGTAGGAGCAGCAACCAAAATGTACCCCACTGAGTTTGTAAACCATGTAATTGATGAAAAGCTAGGACCCAGCCCATGTAACAAACTCCTACAAAGTAACAGGACATGACCAAAGCATAGGAACAGGAACGTTACAAAGAGGACAGCTGGCAAAGGTCAGCTGCACTAGAAATCAAGTAGAAGCTAACTGAAACAACAGAGATATCATTTCACACTCATCGTTTTGGTAAATAACCCAGTAGAGTTCAATGTGTGCCTGCCTCTTTGAAAGAGTCCAGGATTTCCAGAAATTAGAGCATAATGTGGGGAGTCCCTAGGTGATCTGGAGGGCACTGAATGTAGCCTAAGCATCTCTTTCCTGGGATGAGGTGTGCCATGGGGTTTCCAGGCAACATGAGCCAGGATTCCGGTCCTGACGGGAAGCTCACATACTGCACCTGCAGGAAGATGGCAGCAAGGTTCCAGCCATGGAGAACCCTGCAGACCGAGGCCTGTGAGTGGGAACGGACACCATGTACGCATAGCTGCGTAGGGAGAAGGGCTCAGCTGGAATGGAGAGCATGCTGTGTCAACATGGGCTGAGTCTGGGCCCTCCACCTCGCCCTGAGGACTGGGCTGCAGTGTCACAAAATGCCACACACACCTTTCTCTTAGCATAGAACACACCCAGGGCTTTCCAGACCAAGGAGTCATTTCCAAAGCTGTGGTATTACTGTCTTAGAGAAAGAGCCAAAGGAATTCTGCTCTTGCTGCACATACATCATGAAATCTGGCTACTCGTGGAGCTCAATGCTGCCCTCCACGGACCTCCCTGGAGCCCGTGCCTCTCATCAGTGGGCAGCAGTAACTCCCTTATGGAAACAGATTCTTTGCTTGGGGAAAATTCATCAGGTATCTCTTTCCTCTATTTTTATATGGGAGCCAAATGACGGCAGAACAAGTTCAGTGTATGATACTAATTTCATTGTTTTACAGAAAAATAGCTAGAAGTGGGCACCCTGGCTTTACTGACCCACTTTCCTTCCAGGACGACGCAAGGGAGCGGCTACTCATACCTAGTTCTCACAGGAGAACAGGAGGGCCCTATTTCTCAAGGCTTTCTACCTTTTAAACATGGAAACCAAAACAGAAGAATAACTCTCTGATTTTTCAAGTGGAGGTCAGTGCCCCAGCTATCACTGCAGGAGCCCAGGGACCCACCTGCACAGAGGTGAGGCAGAAGGTGATAACGAGCTGCGAGGTGGGGCTAATGAAGGGCGGGGGCGTGACGGAGCGCTTCCCCTGCTCGAAGATGCGGTAGATGCGGTTGGTCTTGGTGAACAGGGCCGAGTAGCTGAGGGTGGTGCCCAGGCCGAGGAAGAGTCTCCGGGCGGCGCAGACCGCCCCCCCGGGCTTGGCCACCATGAGGAAGGTGATGGCATAGATCAGGAAGATGCCGGTGAGCAGCATGTAGCTGAGCTCGCGACCCGAGGCCCGGACGATGGGTGTGTTGTTGTGCCGCACGAAGGTGGCCACAACTACCGTGGTGGCCGTGATGCCCAGTATGGCCAGGAGGAGCGGCGGTGCAGCCCAGGGTGAGGCCCAGGTGAGGCTGACCACGGGCGTGGGGCGGCAGCCTGTGCGGTTGCGCGTGGGCCGCATGTCGCCCGGGCAGGCCTCGCACGTGAACTCATCGGCCTGGAAGCGGTACCCATCGCAGGCCTCACAGTGCCAGCAGCAGGGCACACCCTTCACCATCTTCTTCCGCTCACCCGGCCCACAGGGGAGGCTGCACTGAGACGTCGGCACCTCCTGGGGGTCCCCCGACCACTGTAGGGCTTCCACCTACAACATAGGACACACGGCTTGTGACTGCCATGCCAGGAGTAGGGGGCCTGCCTCCCCTCACCAGGAGCTCAGCCTGTGCCACTCACATCCAACCTGAGGGTCTCTGCCCACTGGCCCACCGCCTGGTAGCCGCCGCTGCCCGCACTGCCGTTGGCCGCCTGGTACTGGAAGATGTCGTATCTCCCCGGTGCATCCCCATTCTCGTTGAACATTACCGGCGTTCCGGCGCTACCTGGAGGGAGAGTCTGGCATCCTCAGCTAGTTCTCCAGCCCATCCAAACCAGCCTCCTGGAGGGGCCAGAGTACCAGCCAGGATAAAGGAAGAGCTCAACAAGCATGCAAAGATGCTCACTGGCATCAGGGAAATGCCCATCAAGCCACCTGAGATACCACCTCATGCCCATTAGGACAGCCATTATTCAAGCAACCGAAAATAACAAGGATCAGCCAAGGACTCGGAGAAACTGGAAACTTTGTGCACTGCTGGTGGGAATGTAAAAGGGTGCAGTCACTGTGGAAAACAGTATGGTGGTTCCACAAAAAACTAAACACAGAATTACCACCCGATCCAGCAATTCCACTTCCAGGCATCTACCCAAAAGAATTGATGCAGGAACTCGAAGAGATACTGGTACAGCCGTGTTCATAGTAGCATATTCACAACAGCCAAAAGATGGAAGCAATTTAAGTGTTCATTGGGGGTTGGATAGGTAAACGAAATGTGGCATATCCACACAATGGGACACTATTCAGCCTTAAAAAGGAAGGAGGACTGGCCGAGTGACGCGTTGGTTAAGAGCTGGCTTGGGATTCCAGAGGGCCCCAGTTCAGATCCCACGTATAAGAGCCAGTGACACTGCCCTCTACAGCTAAGATGCTGAACAACAGCTCAACCTGGAGCTGGGGTGCCAGGAGTCACCGGCGATGGCATAGGCTGCAGCCCCTGTGGCAGTGGGTTGCCATGAGGCTACTGTGTGTAGCCAGCAGCCAGCGTGAGCGGCCAGCAGCCGCAGTGAGCGGCCGTCCAGAAGCCGGCGACTGATCTGCCTCGCCCGGGAAGANAGCGGCCGTCCAGAAGCCGGCGACTGATCTGCCTCGCCCGGGAAGAGCGCAATGATGGTGCCAGCTTGGGCCAGTGAAGCAACGTCCTCCACAACCAGACTGAAGAACAAAAGGACAGCGACTTGTCTGTTCCCCTTCCCTGATTCCCCAATGCTGTTCCCTCCCCCAATTCCCCAATAAAATTGTTTAAAAAAAAAAAAAGGAAGGAAATTCAGACACATGTACAATGTGGATGAACCTGGAGAATGAACCTTGTGCTAAGTGAAATAAGCCAGTCACAAAAAGACAAATAATGCACGATTCCACCCATACAGAGTATTTAGAGAAGTCAAGTTCATAGAAACAGAAAGTAGGATGGTGGGTGCCAGGCGCTGGGAGAGAGGAATGGGAAATTTTTGCTTAATGGGAAGAGAGTTTCAGTTTTGCAAGATGAAAAGAGTTCTGGAGATGGGCTGCACAACAATGTATACTGCTAAACTGTACACTTAAAAGTAGTTAGGATGGTAAGTATATATTATGCTATGTGTATGTTAAGACAATTAAAAAAGAAAGCTTAAGTGTCCAGGTGGAAGGATGAGTTCAGACTTGCACAAAGGTCTGCGTTGGGCATGAAATTTGTACTGATTTCTTTTAGAAGCTTGTTCTACCAGCTTGTAGAGTGGGTCTGGAGTAAAATTAAGTTGCACTATTTAGCAGAGAGGTTGGTAGAGAGAAAGCGCTCAATATTTGGTGGAATATAGAGCTTTACTTTTGTAAAGGATAGCAATTGTACAAGTGCACCTCTCCCCACAAGCTAAGTCCATCTGGGCCTTTTCAGAAGCCCTGACCACATGCCAGGTCCTCTGCTGGTCCCAGGGGGCACATCAGACTTGCGCCTTGTGCTCAAGCAGCACAGGGCCTCTCTGGGACAGCGTTTGGAAGCCTGAGACTCAGAGTGGGCAGCACGTCCGCAGTCTCTCCTCACACGTGCATTGTGCCTCACATGTGCCAGAGAGACCAGATGCCTCCAAGCTCTGTGCAGTGGAGGTGAGAGTTGTGTGTGACCTGCTGAGGGTTCCAGGTAGAAGGGGCACAGAGAAATTCCCCAACACCTGAATTGTGCAAGTTAGGGCAGGGGTGCTGAAGCCTGGGAAAGGAAGAGGGTTAAGAAGTGACCAGAACTTGGCTCAAGTCCCCAGCTCTCAGGCCCAAGTGCTCCCTAGACCATGCTGCCTCTCCCATCCCTTCGATCCTGACTTGTCCCAGGTTCCACAAAGAAACCCATCCCAGTGGGTTTCCCTTCACTCGTGTATGGGCCCTGGCACCCACTCACCGTTGAAGCGGACAGCTCGAATATACTGCAGCAGCGTCCGCCCGTCGGTGGGCTCCATTGCGGAGCACAGGCCTGTGTGCCCAGGACAGAGCACCTGGTGCATGCTATGCAGGGCGTGGGCAATGGCGTACACGGCGTCAATCACAAACTGCACCTTCCCCTCCTGCTTGTAGGCAGAGTCCCGGCCGATGCGTTCCTCACCTGCCCTAGGGATGCCCAGAGGAAGTGTGCCTGGCCTCCAGGTGCCCAACCTGGCCCCACCCCATCTCCCTCGCCTCCCTCACCACTTTGCCGCCCTAGGCAGCTCTCACCTGTGCATTTGCGGGTGGAGTCGTCTGACTGGGCACCTGAGCTGGTCAGTTTGCAGTTAAAATTCTCTTCCCAGAACTCTGCGAACCAGATGTTCCGGCGGTTGTTCTCCAGGGAGCGGGTCATGAAGTACTGGTCAAATCCTGAGAGCGAGGACAGAGAAGGGTGACAACCATGAGCCAGCCAACGGTTCTCCTTCACCACTTGTTCACTTTGCTGCAAGGAGTGGCCATGCGACCATCTGGGGGCCCCATGGTAGAATTTGCATTCTGATGCAAACTCAGAGCCACACCACAGGAAAGACTTGTGCTGCCCCTTCTTTTCTGGTTGGGATGCTGCTGTGCAGATGTAATGGGCGGAGCTTCAGCAGCCACTTTGTAAATATGATGCCACAGCAGGAAGACAGAGAAACCCCAGAGGATGGTGAAACAGAAGTGGGGACAGAGCTCAGGGCTTTGAGAACATCACTGACTCACTGCCCCGAGCCCCAAGTTGCTTACTTTCAAACCTCTTGTCTTATGGTGAAATACCTTTATTGCTAAAACTACACTGTCTAGTTTGCCACTTGCAATTGAATGCATTCTAATGGAAAAGAGTGTGAGGGTGGGTATACGCCCCCAAGAGGTATTAGTGTGGGTGTCAGGACTCAGTCTTATAAGGGTCCTTGCTTCATAAACAGCCCCGAAACCCTCATCAAGGTGTCTTCAGTTCAGCCTTCGGGTTGTAAAGTGAACACCCCTATTGGATTCTTCCAGATATTCACAGGTGAGGAAGGGGAGGCCTCATCACTTTGATCAGCAGGACAGTATGTCCCACATCCTTGGTTTCTCTCTCTCCCACCCCCACCCTCAAATCACAGTGCCCTTGGCAGGACCAGGAATACAAGCACTGAATTAAAACACAAAACAAAAAAACACGAACTAACAATTCTTCTCCCTGTGTGGTGGGTGTGCTTTTCCTCATCTGCCAGCTCATTCAAACACTGCTCAGAGGGGGGCGTGTATTGACAGAATCTCAGAATCCTACCAGGGACCTGGATCATGTACATTTTACAGATGGGGGAATGAGTGCCCCAAGAGGGGCTGATGGGGAAGGACAGCAGGGGTGAGGCATACTGTGGGGGAGGGCATTCCTGCACTCACCGTTGATGGAGGCCCTTTTGGGCAGGATGGTGACAGCTCCCATTGCCACATCCTCCAGGTTCAGGATGGGTGCGGTCTTGGCTCCCCAGCTGTCTGAGCCAACCCACAGGAAGTGGCCAGTCAGGTTGGCCAGGCGTGCAGCCTCTAGGACCCTCCTGGTAGAAACAGGGCTGGGAGTGAGTAAGGGCCTGAGTTCTTCCTCCAGCTTAGCCCTGCTCGCTTCCCATTCTTCTCTCTCCTCTTATCCCATTCCACATCACTCAGCAGACCCTCATTTATTGGGAAGATGGGGTGTAGGGCGTTTACACTTGTGCTGGGCTTCTGGGGTAGTCAGGGCCTGGGCCTGCCCTCTGGCTCCACACACTGCACCCACTTCACTCTGCCTGGAGGCAGGGCCTCCTGCTGGCTCTGCCCCTGGGGGTCCTTCCTGATGCTCAGCTTCTGCACCTTTGATGTGCCAATAGGCCACCCACTGTGAATTCTACCAACCGACATGTTTCCCTGGCTAGACTTGAAGCATCTCCACCCAGATGGGGCTGGAAGCACCAGACAGAGAGGGCAGCAGGAGAAGTGTGCAGGGGGAGGGAGAGTGAGAAAGAGGGAAAGAGAGAAAGGGAGGATGTGCATGTAGGGATGTGTGAGAAGACGAAGCAGGGCCTTCAAGGAGAGCCTTTGAAGAACTCAGTGACCACAGGCACCATCCATCCCACCTGATGTCATCCTCGTTGGCAAAGATGATGATGCCACGGGCATTAGGAGTCTCCATGAGTCGCCGGATCACCTTGTTGAATTCTCCTGGCTTTGGTTCTCTAGGAATCTTGATGGACTGGGCAATACAGACGCCCCCTGGGTGTAAGGGTGCCAAAGTCAGCTTTTGTCCATCCCACCCACCCCAGGAGTTGCCACTGCACATGACTGTGTAGTGTGATCGCTCTACAGCCTGGCCAGGGGTCTGCAGGGGTGAGGTCAGCCTGGGCCCCACCAAGCCACGAGGCAGGGGCTGAGTCCTCCAAAGGAAAGGGGCACCTGCCCACAGAGGACACCATCCACGCTCCCCACCATGGACCCAGTGCCCCATCTTATGGCTTCTGCCCTGTTTGATGGCCCCTGGCTCACCCCTCTGTAGGCTCCTCGGTGCCTCTGACCCTCCTGCCCCCAGCTCACCAGCCTCGCGGGAGATCTGTATGAAGGCCTCGACCCCGCTCTCGCCATAGTTGCCTTCAGAGGCCAGCGTGGACACATAGTTCCATCCCACTGCCCGCACGATATCCACCATGGCCTGGGCCTGGTAGGAGTCAGGCGGCACCACTCGGGAGAAGAAGTCGTAGCGTGTGGAGTCACTGAGCTCAGGAGCCGTGGAGGCGTAGCTGATCTGAGGGATCTGGAAGTGGGGAGAACACCTGAGCTGTGGATGGAGGATCAGTGACCCCCGGAAGGGAGGGCAACGGGCACCCAGGACACAGGTGGGGGCACAGAAGCATTGGGGTAGGGAGCTGAGAACCAGCTGGAGTGGGCGGAAGGTGTGGGAAAAGGCCTGCATCTTGTAAGTGGGTCTGATGGAATGGGGGAGGGCTGAGGGTCTCGGGGAAAGGGCACGGCCACCACATACAGCTGTGTAGGGTGTGTCTGAGCAAAGGGGAGGTGGGAGCTCAAATGCAGCCTGCAGCCAATCCAGCCGCCAGGCACAGGCTTTCTGCCCTGGAAAGGGATGTCCAAGTGAGCCCCGGAGGTGACACGTTTTCCTAATTCACATCATGGGGTGATCTGTGGGCAGGGGCAGGCCCAGGAGGGGTCAGAGTGCCAGAGGAGCTGGGAAGGGCCTCATGATTCAGGGGCCTAGTGCAGGGGCCTGTCTGGAACTGGGTTTACCTGTGTGCAGTAAAGTGACTGATGGCCGGGAGGAAAGGGGGAGCTGATGCAGGAGAGGCGGGCAGCTGTGTGCCAGGTGAGGGGAGGAGGCTGAGGCAGCCGGAAGACAGAGGACAGCAGCGAGAGGGGCAAATCAGAACCACGTTAAAGGCACAGTCACTAGGGAAACAGCAAGTGGGAGTTGGTGTGGAGGTCATGGGGGGCAGTTCTGGAAGGAGGGACTGGGCTGATCTGGGGAGACAGGGTTGTTTGAAGTAGGACAGAAGGAAAGTGTGGAGTGCAAAGGTCTATGGAAAGGGGAGAGTACAGCAAGAGGGTCAGGGAAGGAAAGAGGGAGGAAGAATGGACGGGAGGGAGAAAGAAAGAGAAAAACAAGAAGAAAGACAAAGAAATAGAGGAAATCAGAGAAAAGGAAGCAGAGAAAGGCCCGCTGGCTGCAATACATTAGTGAGCGCCATAGTTACTCTGGGCACGCCGGACACTTTAGTTTCCTCTTCAGAAAAGCTTTCCCATATAGGTTAAGCTTCCCTGGGAGAATACATTTTAAATGCCTGAGAGTACAGGATGTGGTTGAGAAGTGAACTCAGAGGCTCTCATCTTCGCTTCTGGACCAGGAATTGCAAAGCAGCCCCCAGGGAGCAAAATCTGGCCCAGGTTTGCTCTTTGTGCACTGTGTCTTCATTAAAATTTTTTAAAATTAGTAGCCAGTGTCCAAAATCTGGGGGTGCAGCAACACCTCAGTCTTGGACTGAGCTGGCAGCAGTGGGCCCTGGACTCACAGGGTCCTGCTCACTCAGCTACAGTCCCCACCTGGACCTCAGAGTTCCTTGAGTTTGAGATTTTGAGATCTCTGCCTAGAGGGAGAGAGACAAAAACCAGAGCTCCAGGCAGGAAAGGGGCTACAGCCCACAAATGTAAACAGACATGGGCTGGTGAGACAAAGACACCCTTTCCCCCACCCCCCCTCTCCCCCACATACACATACACTGGGCAGTCACACAACCTCTTTGGGTGCCAACTAGAAGGTGCGTCTCTATGCTCTGCACAAAGGCTACCATCCAGCAGAAACTGGGGTGAGAGGAATGAAGTGGATGCAGGTGATGGAAGGGGGCCCAGAGAAAACCCCCACCTAGTGCCTTGGGGTAGAAAAGCACAGGCCACTCCTGGGAGAATCAGAAAAACTCAAGAAAAAGAAGTCCTCTCCCCTAGCCAGATGGAAGCAAAGCCTTCTTCTCTTCTCAGAAAGATGAAAGGACAGAGACGCCCCATCACAGAACCCCAATAAAACTGTCCCAGAAGACCGCTCCCCAGAATGTACAGAGAAAACTCCCACATTCTAATGACAAAGGCCCCTTTAATCCATGATTCCTATGCCCTCTCCTCCCATATTACTGCCCCCATTGCAAGGAAGGAGCTGCCTCCCACAAGGCAGGTTCCGAGAGATGAAGGCACTGCAGGAACTGTCCCAGCATCTCCGACAGGGCGGGGTGCTGGAGATAAGCACTCTAGAAAGGGGACCCCACCGTTGCCTTTTTCAGAGGTCTCTTAAGAGACCATTAGAGACAGATGTTTTGAAATTGAATTTAAACTGTGATCAAAAAGGAGGAGCGAGGTCCAGGGCTTTACACGCCCACCCACCCCCCAGAGCAGCCAGGAGCTTGTCCCAGCTGCCAGTTGCCCCACCGGAAGGAGGGCCCTGGTTCCAAGGACAACTTGCTCCTCATCGCCCAGAGCTCTCCACAGAGCCCACGGGCAGGACCTCCTTGCACCGGTCTGCAGGGTGTGCCCAAAACGAAGACACCGGAACAAGAGGCCCAGTGGGGGCTCAAGTCCAGGCCGCCCTGCTCTAGCGGGATCCTGGGGGGAAGGGGCCGCCTGTCAGCCGGGGTGGTACCTTTCCTTAATTCACACAAAGGGCTGTGTGTGCCGGCGCCAGAGCAGACAAGGGAGGCCTGAGTGGTGGAGTGAACCTGACTCCGGCTTGTGTCTGGCCGGACCCACAGCGTTTCTTTGAAGCAGCTGTTTGTGAATTGGAGCGATTTCTGCAAGGAGACTAGACCTCAGCCATCCTAGGGCGAGGACGGGAGAGAGACGCTGGACACCGAACACTGCCCGCGGGCCTCACCGCAAACAGGCGCAGCACGTTGGCGACCATAATGGAGACGGAGCTGGCAGAGGCGCCCACGACAGCCACGACGCGCTCGGGGGGCGCGGCGCGCAGCTGGGGAACGCCGCCTGGGCAGCGCACGCCCGCTTCGTCGCCGTTGCCGCGGCCGCGGATCAGCGCCTGCACGAAGCTCAGCGCCTGCTCCAGCGCGTACGTGTCGCGCGAGCAGGTGTCGAGCAGCCGCGCGCCCAGGCGCACTCCCGGCAGCAGCTCCGGGTCAGCGTTGACGCGGTCCAGGGCGTACAGCATGGCCTCCAGCCGGTGCACGCCCTGCTCCTTCTTCAGGGGTCCGCACACTCTGCCCGCCGCGCCCCGCGCGTGCACCGGGAACAGGCCGCCCAGCGTGAGGCCGCCCGCCAGGCGCACCGAGCCCGCCGCGCCCTCCGCGCCAGCCTGCGCCAGCAGCAGCACCGCCAGCGACGACAGCAGCGCCAGCAGCAGCGGCTCCAGGGTGCTCCGGGGCCTGGCCATCGACTCGCCGGCTGCGGGAGAATACCGGGCGGCAGGAGAATGGAGCCCGAGAACGCTCTGAGCGCCTGGCCGGGGAAAACTGGGGGAACGGGAGCCCCAGGGACTAGGGAGGCGCGCAATAAATGTTGATGAGTCAATCAGAGAAGAGGTGTGATATCAACTCGGCCCCCTTCCCCAGGCCTTCCCCCTCGCTCTCAACACACTCTAAATCTTATCACACGGGTCCCCTACCTGCCCACTATCTCCAGCGCGCCAGTTAGTCCTGGGCCGCTCTTCCTGGGACCCATCCCCGGCTTACACTCAGACCCCACTCCGTAGCCACACTCACCTGCGCCAGCCGCTGGCTGTCGGGTCAGGACGCGGTTGTGACAGATGCGGAGGGCCCCGAGCAAGCGAGAGAGGATTTAAGGATTGTAGGGAAGGGATGCGAGGCTGTCCTGAGACCCCTCCTGAGCAGCGGTGTAAAGGTGGCTCTGGCCGCGTCTTTCCCTCCCTCCCTCTCCTGCTTCCTGGGCCTGTTTCTTCCCTATTTTCCGATGTGTGTCTAACCTTATTGTTTCTGGCTGTCTGTCTCCCGGGCTGTCTCTGACACGCATTCTCTCTCTCTCTCTCTCTCTCTCTCTCTCTCTCTCTCTCTCTCTCTCTCTCTCTCTCCTTCTCTCTCTCTCTCCCTGCCCTCCACCTGTTTCTCTTCTCTTTCTGTCTGTCTCTCTCTGTGTCAATTTTTCTTTGTCTCTCACTGTTTCTGTTTCCCTCTCTTTCCTGATCACCATTCTCTTGACTCCAGCTACCTAATGTACTCCCCAACTTTCTCCTTGCAAAACGCTGCAGTAAACCTGTGAGTGAAGGGAAGGAGCACAGACTGACTGAGCTGAGTGGACCTGAACAGGAAGACGGAGAACAGGGCTGGGCAGGAAGAGGCCATAACAAGCAGACCTTTAATATTGGCAAGGACTGCTTAACACACTCACAACAACCCTGCAAAGAAGAGACTTTAACCATCAGCCCCATTTTGCTGATGGGGAAATAGAGACCTAAAGGAGTTAAGTGACTTGCCCAAGGTCACACAGTTGGTATGTGTCAGGATTTGCACCCAGCTGATGTGAAGCCACCAGCCTGCATGGCCTCTGATGGAAGGAGGGGACCGGAGTTTGCCCTGCAGCTCACGCCCCCACCTCCTGCCGCTGATGAGGGAGCTCTAAGAAGTTGCTCTTATGGTCATTTATAAAAGCTTCCTGGGCTTTGGGGTCTGAAGCAGTGACTCACACCATGTGAGGCTCTCTGTACCTGAGTTTCCCCATCCCATCTTTGAGGGCCAAAAGGGAACTTGGCCAAAAGACACTTTTACCATCACTCTTGTCTGAGGCTCTCTGACGCTGAGAGAGCAAAGGGCTTCGTGGAGACAGGTGGTGAGCTCTCAGCACCAGGGATTAGCAGGCTCTTTGTGCGGGGCCTGAGCTGGCTTGGGTTCCATTAGACATGGTGGATTAGGGCAGCTACAGGGATTTGGTCAAAGCTGGCAGTGGGAGCAAGCAAAAGCCATGTCACCCTTCTTTCTTCCCCTACCACATCCAAGAGTCCCAATAGTCTCTGTTTCCAGAGCTGTCCAGGCACCACTCCCTGGCAGAGGCGTGGAGTGGGGAAGCCTGTGTCAAGCATGGTCTCCACCCATTTTACAAGGGGGGGAGAATGGGGCATTTAGCTGGTACTTGACATTGCAAAGTTCTGTACAGACCTGTTGTTTGAAATGGATGCGCTGGCAACTGGGCTCACACAGTCCCTCACAGCCCTTCCTCACCTAGGACTGGTCAGACGGGGCTACTGCTGACAAAGCAGGTTCCCCACTCACAAGGTCAGAGCATCCCTCTGGCTCCTAAGTGCAGGATGGACCATCAGTGAGCTGGGGCAGACGCCCTCACAATGGTGCAAGAGGGAGGCAAGAGAGTCTGAGTAGCATGCTGGAGGTGGAAGGGGGTAGAAGTGGATGGGTTCCAGGCATAAGAAGAACTGGTTATGAGGTGAGGATGAAGAAGGCATTGCAAAGTGTGGCACCTGGGAGGAGGAGGCAGCATCCCTGAGAATGTGAGGACCAGTACCTGGGCAGAGCAGGACCATGGAGAGCAGAAAGCAAGATTTTGATTTTGGACACAGGAAAGCCAAGACTCTCATCTGAGATTTGGAAGGGTAGGTCAAGCCTATGGTTGGACTCATGAGTATGGAATTGAGGGAAGAGTCCAGGGCAGGAGACAAAGCTGAGGCAGGATCAGCGAGGGTGCGGGATTTATAAATTCTTGGGTCGGATGAGCTCACCTGGCAGAGGGTGTAGACAGAGAGTGAGAACCAGGCACCCCAACATCTCAACCAAAAGTTTGAGCAAAGAGAGGATGCTGGGAGGAGTGGCCAAGGAAGTGGAAGAGGGACGGCACAGAGGCCAAGGAACACGGGTTGAGGGAGGAAAATACATCACAGTTAATTCAGCCCCATGCAGTGGCAGTCATTGACTCACTCAGATGAGACTACTGAGGGAGAGAGGTATGGTGACTCGCCCAAGGCCACACAGAGCAGGGGACATGGGGCTGCTCAAACAACCTGAGGTAAAAAAACTCAACAACTTCTGAGTCCATGATTTCAGCTCCAGCTATTTCAGTTGACAAGATTCAATGATTTTATTTTATTTATTTATTTATTTATTTATTTATTTATTTTTAAGATTTCTATTGGGGCATTGGGGGGATGAGAACAGCGCTGGGGAATTGGGGGAAGGGGAACAGACAAGTTGCTGTCATTTTGTTCTTCAGTGTAGTTGTGGAGGACGTTGCTTCACTGATCCAAGTTGGCACCATCATTGCGCTCTTCCTGGGCGAGGCACATCAGTCGCTGGCTTCTGGACTGCTGCTCACAGCGGCTGCTGGCTACACACGGTAGCCCATGACAACCCACTGCAGCAGGGGCTGCAGCCTACGCCATCGCCGGCAACTCAGGTTGAGCTGTTGTTCAGCATCTTAGCTGTAGAGGGCAGTGTCACTGGCCCTCATAAGTGGCATCCGAACCGGGCCCTCTGGTGTCCCAAGCCAGCTCTTAACCATCACGCCACTCGGCCAGCCCAAGATTCAATAATTTTTTTTTTAAAGATTTTTATTGGGAATTGGGGGATGGGAACAGTGCTGGGGAATTGGGGGAAGGGTAACAGACAAGTTGCTGTCGTTTTGTTCTTCAGTCTAGTTGTGGAGGACGTTGCTTCACTGGCCCAAGTTGGCACCATCATTGCGCTCTTCCCCTGGCGAGGCAGATCAGTCGCCAGCTTCTGGATGGCCGCTCACTGCGACTGCTGGCCGCTCACGCTGGCTGCTGGCTACACACAGTAGCCCATAGCAACCCACTGCCACAGGGGCTGCAGCCTACGCCGTCGCCGGCGACTCACAGCAGCCCAGCTCCAGGTTGAGCTGTTGTTCAGCATCTTAGCTGTAGAGGGCAGTGTCACTGGCCCTCATATGTGGGATCCGAACCGGGGCCCTCTGGCGTCCCAAGCCAGTTCTTAACCATCGCGCTACTCGGCCGGCCCAAGATTCAATAATTTTAAAAGCCCAGGGCGGGGCCGGCCGAGTGGCTCAGTTAGTTAAGAGCATGAGCTCTGAGCAATAGGCCCGCCGATTCGATTCCCGCATGGGCCAGACGCTGCACCAGAGCTGAGCTGCCGCTGAGCTGCCAACAGGCGACAGGCTGGCTCAGCTGGTGAGAGCACGTGCTCCTAACAACAAGGTTTCCGGTTCAACTCCTGCATGGGATGGTGGGCTACGTCCATTGCAACTAAGATTGAACATGGCACCTTGAGGTGAGCAGCTCCGATGGCAACTAGATTTGGAGCTGAACTGGCTGCGCCCTCCACAACTAAGATTGAAGGACAACAACTTGGCTGTCCCCCTTCCCCAATTCCCCAACACTTACCCCTTCCTCAATTCCCCAATAGAATCTTAAAAAAAAAAAAAAAAAAGCAGCCCAGGGCTGCTAAGCATGTCTTCCACATTTCTAATCTCTGAGCTAGATGTCAAATATATATTTTAGGCTAGTGTCCAATTTAGCAACCACGTGACTTTTATTACACAGTTCACTGAAAACCGTATGTTCTTGAGCTCATTTAATGGTCAGCTTCAAAGCTCCTGATTCCTGGATTGGGTTGTTAAACATATTCCACCTTCTCTTGTTTAAAGAGAGAGTCTGGGACATGTTTTGTGAGAGAAATGATGCACATGGCATAGTTTCTGGCACAGTGATGTTCACAAACATGATGTTTGTACCTGAGACCGTCCCTCTGACTCTTCCCTGAATGCCCTATGTGGTGGACACATATTGTTACTGGCCAACCAAGCAGCAACCCCACCACTTAGAAACTTTTAAGTGTTCTTCCCTATAGAAATGTTAAGTCTCCTCCCTGGTTCCTTAGTTTCTTAGCCCCTGGCTTTGATTACTCTTCTCATCAGTTTGTGAATCATAGAATTCTCCTACCCTCCCCTGTTTCTTGATTATTTTGTAAATCAGTTTCTGAATCCTAAACAATAGAAGTCTCCTACCCTTGCTTCAGATAACTACTTGAAAGCCTGTGACTTCCTACTGTTCCCCAGGCAAGTCAGCTAAATGCCAAACCCATTCTGGGCCCAGACAATTGATGCCACCTGAGTAAAAGGCTGAAAGGCCACAGGCTTCATGATGAGCTAACAGATTTATTAATTAAAATATATTTTTCCTTATTCAGGGGCTTTGGGGATACAGAGAATACCCCAACAAGATTGCCAGTCACAACCAAAGAAACCAACATAGTCTTCCAGGCAGAGCTTGAGACCCCTTCCTCTCATCTGAGATCAGCTAGGGTGAGAGTTCCGTGAACCCCAATAGGGAGGGACAGCTCTACGCCCCTGCCCAGCAGGAAGCAGATACAGAAGAAAATACCTCCTGTCCCTCAACTTCCCATAGAGATTTTATGGGGATCACGTCTCTCAAGGGGAAAACTAGGTAGGCAGTTAGAGGCAGGCATTGGGTCATTGCATTCCTGCATGTCCCACAGAATGCGACCGCCAAGGGGACATCCCTTCTACACCCAAAACTCCCCTTTGTATTGCAATTACCTACCCCTGTGGGAAAACAAATGGGCACAAAGTACCCAACTAGATCAGACCAGTCACTCGCACCTGCACAGCACCTCTTGTCAATCACAGATGCCAATCAAGTGGTCCCATGCCCTTAGGGGAACAGCCCATTCTAGAGAAGGGATAAAAACCCCAAGTCCTGGGATGTCCGCCTTTTGGATGCCTGCTTTTTTTGGACCTCCTTCCTCCCTTTTTGAGCCTTTTGAGTCTTGCCTTTGCGCATGGCCTGCTCCAAACTCTTTGGAATGTAATTTCTCTTCTAATAATGGGCCCTTGAGCCATTCTCTACTGCTTGGGCCTACTTCCACTTCTTTGAATAAACTACTTTTTCAGTACTTTACTCTGGCATCTCATTCAATTCTTTGCTCGAGTTGCCAAGGACCTGGACTTTGCGCCAGAAGGGCTCACTCTCCGACAACAATGTGAGGCACCTATGCCTTAAGAAGCCTGCCCCTCCATTGCTGCCCTGCCACGCCTGCCCCTCACT